GGGTTCAGGGTTCAGGGTTTAGGAGCTCAAGGCTCGGGGTTGAGGGATTTTTCGAGGCGCGACTTGAATCCATGGACTACCCGGAGAGCCCAATACCCCTGAATTAAGCAATATGCCTTAAATTATAGGGGCCTTAATATTATAATTTAAGCTATATTCCTTAATTAAGGGGTATTGGGCTCTCTGGGTAGGGCCTTGGGGGTGTTGCAAGCCGCAATTTCTGCCGCTACTACTTGGAGGTTTAGGGGTAGCTATAAGTAGGGTTATAAGTAGGGTACCTATGTAGTTATAAGTAGGGTTCCTTTAAGGGTTCTATAGGGTTTAGGGTTTAGGGGTCGTTATAAGTAGGGTTACAAGTAAGGTAAGTATACTGATAACCCTACTTAGGGGACTTATAACCCCACTTATGACTGTTCATGAACCTCCAAGTACCCTACCTCCCTAGCTCGCCCAGTTGGCTCGCTAGCTGGCTAGCTGCCTGGAAATACAGCACTCCGAACTCTCAGCACCTGCCACAACACTTCGTTAATACAGAAGCCTAAAGAATTACCTGTACCATTTTTTTGGGGGGTTCCTTAAAATAGTAATACTATAAAGGAGTCCAAAACCCTATTCTAATTACTAAGGCCCCTACATGTTGGGGGGTTCCTTAAAATAGTAATACTATAAAGGAATCCAAAACCCTATTCTAATTACTAAGGCCCCTACATTTTGGGGGGTTCCTTAAAATAGTAATAATACTATAAAGGAGTCCAAAACCATGTTCTAATTATTAAGGCCCCTACATTTTGGGGCGTTCCTTAAAATAATAATACTATAAAGGAGTCCAAAACCCTATTCTAATTACTAAGGCCCCTACATGTTGGGGGGTTCCTTAAAATAGTAATCATACTATAAAGGAGTCCAAAACCATGTTCTAATTATTAAGGCCCCTACATTTTGGGGCGTTCCTTAAAATAATAATACTATAAAGGAGTCCAAAACCCAGTTCTAATTACTAAGGCCCTACATTTTGGTGGGTTCCTTAAAATAGTAATAGTACTATAAAGGAGTCCAAAACCATGTTCTAATTATTAAGGCCCCTACATTTTGGGGGTTCCTTAAAATAATAATACTATAAAGGAGTCCAAAACCCTGTTCTAATTATTAAGGCCCCTACATTACTGCCGCTGTGTTCGGGCGGGTCTCCTCTTCGGGCTCGCGGGCGGTCGCCGCACCAGAGCCTTGGCAGCTCGGCTATGTTCCCCTAAGGCTAATGTAGGGTTTAGGGTTTAGGGTTTAGGGTTTTGGGGCCTTACCCAGAGAACCCAATACACCTTAATTAAGGAATATACCTTTAAATTATGATTTAAGGTATATTCCTTAATTAAGGGATATTGGGTTCTCTGGGTAATAATTAGAACAAGGTTTTGGGGGTTCCTTCTTGTCATTGTAGTAAAATGGGCCCAAAACCCTATTCTAATTATTAAGGCCTCTAAAATACTGCGAGGGCTCTGGTCGGGCTAGCCGGGCTCTACAACGGGCTCGATGAAGGAACTTCAGGCATGATGGGTTTAGGGTTTAGGGTTTAGGGCCCAGGGATGACCTTCTAATCCATTCCACTTCCTGAAACTCACATGACTGCATCAGTTGGACCAGACTGCTTCTTCGTGGAAACGCAAGCAGCTCGTCATCAACAACCCCGGTAACCTTGCGAAACCGTCCAAAAATCCTCAAAAACAAAGATAAAGCCCTCTTTCACCAATCTTCGGATGAAGCGTCCGAAAAAAAACTGAGGACGCGGCCCATGCTTCAGCTAAAGGAAGGGGCCACGAGATGACCCACAAAGCCACAAAGCGTCCGAGAACTAGGTGAGGGGGCGGACAGCTCGGCAGACAATTCTTTAGGGCTCATTTTCGGGCCCTGAACCCTAAACCCTAAACAGTTTTTCGGGCCAGCTTCAACCCTGCAAGTCATTGGAGGCTGCTTGGCAGAAGCCCTGCAACCCTAAACCCCAACCCCTAAACCCTAAACCCGAAACCCTAAACCCTGACTGCCTAAACCCGAAACCCTGAACCCTAAACCCCAAACCCTAAACTCTAAACCCGAAACCCTAAACCCTAAACCTGCATCTCTGAGACCTTTGATCCACAGCCCTAACTCGTCACAAGCTCGAGCCGGGAGATGGCGTGAAGCAAAAAGCACACTACAGGGGTCTAGGGTTCAGGGTTTAGGGTTTAGGGTTCAGGGTTTAGGGTTTAGGGCTCAGGGTTTAGGGTTTAGGGTTTAGACTTTGCAGTTCAGGTTTCAGGTCAGGGCTTGGAGTCCTTGAACCTTATGTCTCTCCTCACCTTTCATCCCTGGAACCCGAAGCTGAGACTCCTGTTGCTGAAACCCCAAATGGGAGGGTTTAGGGTTTAGGGTTCAGGGTTTAGGGTTTAGGGTTTAGGGTTTAGGGTTTAGACAATTTCCGAAAACACGGGACCCTAATATAGTACCCCAAATAGTAGGATCCTTATCATAAGGACCCCAAGATAAGGTACCCCTTAGTTTCGGAAACTCCCACATTTAATTAACTGACATCCGTCAATGCCTACACCCCAAACCCCAAAATGAACGGTGTTTTGGACTTTAGGTTGGCAACCTGGCTACTTCGAGGGTTTCGGGATATCTTGCTCGCGCCATGGACTTCGGAAGCTCACGATGTCTAGCTTACAAGATTTGCGACACTTGCGATTCAAAACCCTAAGCCCTAAACCCTAAACCCTAAACCCTGAACCCTAGCCCTCAACCCTAAACCCTGAACCGTACTTTGTCAAAGCCCGGGCTTTTAGAAGTCACGCCACAGCTCCCGGCTTGGTGATGAGCCTCTCGACAATCAACAGCTGTGAAACTGGGCTCTGAACCCGGGCTAGGCTTCCTTGTCTTAGGGTTTAGAGTTTAGGGTTTAGGGTTTAGGATTTAGGGTTTAAGGTTTAGGGCTTACCTTTGCGATCCTAAATACCTACCATGGTTCTGATGACGACGGTGATGATGGCGGTGATGGTGAGGGCGTGAAAGTGATGAGGATGAGGATGAAGTGAAGAGTGTCGCTGCAGTGCCGGACGTAGTCGTAGTCGTAGTCGTCGTAGTAGTAGTAGTAGTAGTAGTAGTAGTAGTAGTAGTAGTCGTAGTAGTAGTAGTAGTAGTAGTAGTCGTCGTCGTCGTCGTCGTCGTGGTCGTCGTCGTCGTCCTGAGCGTTCCTTATGGGATGGTCCCAGCAACTACTAGTTGCTATCGTGATCTTGCTGCTTCGTACTTGGAGGTTCATGGGTAGTTCTAAGTGGGGTTAGAAGTAGGGTAACTATACTTACAACCCATATGAGGGGACTTATAACCCCACTTATAACTACCCATGAACCTCGAACCCTAAACCCTAAACCCTAAACCCTAAACCCTAAACCCCAAACCCCAAACCCCAAACTCTAAACTCCAAGTATGTTCACGCCAACTCCGCCGTGCGCTTCTTCAACAACGGGGTGCGGGCAACGGTTCGAACCGAACGCTGCCGCGTCGCCTGGGGCTGGGCATCTACGGGTTTGGCTTGAGGCTGGAGGACTGGGGGTTTAGGGTTTAAGGTTTGTGGTTTAGGGTTTAGGGTTTAGGGTTTAAGGTTTAGGGTTTAGGGTTTAGGGTTTAGGGTTTAGGGTTTAAGGTTTAGGGTTTAGTGTTTGGGGGTCGAGTTTTGGTGTTGTGGGCTTCTGGCGTCCCAAACCTTCAAAGAGAACCTCTAATCCCAGACCCACGAAACCCACCACGAATTTCCACGTGGAGGCCTTTAGGGTTTAGGGTTTAGGGTTTAGGGTTTAGGGTTTTCGAAGCAGTCAAACATCAACATCTGCAGAAGCTAAGAATTTGGGAACACGACAAGACCCGACATCCCCAGCCCACCTCTTCCAAAAAGCCGATAACCAGCCTAGAACAAGGAGCCGCCCGAAGAACCTCGAACCCTAATCCAAAGCCCTAAACCCTAAACCCTTGTACTAGATGGTGTACTCACGGCAGCCCTTTAAAGAACCCTTACTTGGAGGTTCATGGGTAATTAAAAGTGTGGTTATAAGTCATAGGTATAGTTACCCTACTTATAACCCTACTTATAACTAACTTACCAGGAGCCCCAAAGCCGCCCAGGCCTCAACACCAGACATTCTCTTGCATATATATGTATATATTAAAATATAAGAATATCTATATATTTATATAGGTGTATCTATATATATATGTGAATATATATATATATATATATATATATATTTGTATATATTCACATATATATATATATATATATATATTAACATATATATATATATATATGTCTAATCTTTCTTACTTGTTTGTATCCCCTTACTTTCTATGTATCTACCTTTACATATGCATTTCTTCGCGCACTCTTTCTGAAACAGTGTACCCTAAACCCTAAACCCTAAACCCTAACCGTTGTAACAGGGCAGGTCGCCGGCGCCAGCGGCCGGCTGTCCGTGGACTCCGTGCCGGGGCTCCGACCGGCCTGGGCCTTGGCCTGGGCCTGGGCCAGGTCGAAGATACCTGAACTGAGGGTTTAGGGTTTAGGGT